CCCCCACAGGACAAGTTCTGGGAACACGCGCGCTCCCACATCAAGGAAGACAAGCTGCTGCAGTGCCCCAAGTGTGCGTTTGTCACCGAGTACAAGCACCACCTGGAGTACCACCTCCGCAACCACTTCGGCTCCAAGCCCTTCAAGTGCAACAAGTGCAACTACACGTGCGTGAACAAGTCCATGCTCAACTCCCACATGAAGTCTCACACCAACGTGTACCAGTACCGCTGCTCCGACTGTACCTACGCCACCAAGTACTGCCACAGCCTCAAGCTGCACCTCAAGAAGTACGACCACAAGCCGGCCACGGTGCTCAACCAGGACGGAAGTCTGCCGCAGGGCGTGGACGCCGATGCCAGCGGTCTGTCCATCATTACCAAACGAGGCCCCCCACGAGGCCCGCGCGGATCCCGCAAGGAGAAAGGAGGCGGCGACCCCTACATGCGACAGTTGTTCGGGATGCCACCTATGCCGATGAGCGTGCCGGGCATGAATCCGGTTCTCAACGGGATGATGCCGTTCTGGCCCATGCTGCCTCACTCGGGAATACCTGGCCACCCCAGCCCCCAGCCCGGGATGTTGCCGGGGATGGGCAACCTGGCGCGCCACATGGGCATGAGGCCGGAGGCTCCTGGCATGGACGCCGGTAGCGGGAACGAGCTGAACGAGAGCAACACAAGCGAGGACAGCTCGTACCAGCTGAGGGAGGACGCGGACGCGCACGTGTGTCGCCTCTGTGAGCACGTCGCCGAGAGCTCCGAGGCTCTCTGTCTGCACTTCCTGCAGGCGCACAAGGACGAGACGGGGGCCGGCGAGGTGGCCAGGATGTACAACATCAGCGAGGCGGCGCTCACAGAGTCACTGCACAGCAACCACCGCGGTGTTGCCACGACGACGGACAGTCTGAGCGGTCGTCGCATGTCGGAACCTGCCGGGGAGACTGGTGGATCTGACCACGAGGTGACGGAGACGGAGCGGAGGAACACGATCGCCGGCCTGTTGTTCCGGGACGGTGGGGAGAAGCAGACAGCGGGGGGGAGCAGGCTACAGGACATGTGCTACCCCGGCGGGGAGTGCCAGAGGGAGGAAGACCGGCCCGGCGCCACAGACGGCATGGACATATTGCAGCAGATGACCCTCAAGTTTGGCAGCGGCACCATGCCGGACACACGAGGGGGAGAGGACCAGAGGCAGGCCGGGGTCAGCGTGACCCAGGGTCAAGGTCGCCGGCGGCCGGGCAGCCAGCACAAGGAGAGCCCACTAGACCTTACCAAGCCCAAGTCTGTGTCCCCCGCACTGTCCAGCAACCCCAACTCTCCACGGAGGTCCTTCGAGAATGAGGAGGAGGAGGGAGAGGAGGCCATAGAGGAAGAGGAGGAAGAGCAGCGCAGACTGAGGTGTGTGCGCGACGCGAGGGACGGGGGGCTGTCCAAGGTCACACAGCTTTTGTTACGTAAGAGGCCGGCTCCTGAGGACGAGGATGTGACCCCTGTGACCTCCAGCGTGCCCCCCACTGCCCCTGAGGTGCCCCACATCGTGACCCGGAAGCGGTCGCGGAAGGGCAAGGCATACAAACTGGACACTCTGTGTCGTAAGCTACAGGAGCGACACACGCGCTCGCCACATGACACAGACGACTCCGACACTGACGCGCCTTTTGAACGTTTCCAGCCTCTCCACGCCACCACGGGGGGGACCCATGGTGAGGGGGATGTGGGGGGATCCACGCACCGGCAGGGAGGCAGCAGCACGGAGGAGGTGATGCGAGGGGAGGAGGAGGAGGAGAGAGAGAGTTGTGAGGCAGCGGAGAAAAAGGAGAAGGAAGAAGATGTAGTAGAGGAGGAGGAGGAGATGGAAGCTCAGGAGGGCTCGGAAGTCTCTTCGGAAAAGACGGAGGTAGAGGAAGGAGAGGGTCTGGAGGAGGGAGAGGTTCCCTCAGGGACACAGCCAAGTTCAAGGACGGAGGAGTTGAAGGTCGACCCGGAGGTCACGCCCCACAAGGACGACGAGTCTGAGCAGACGTGCCCCCCACAGACAGACGTAGGTCCGCGCGGGTTATCGACAGCGAGCGAGCCCGTCATTAAGGTGGAAGTGGTTGACGAGGGGAACGACACAGACTTCAAGGACAAGTCGAACGACACAGACTTCAAGGACAAGTCAAACGACAACAAAATGGCAGCTTTTGACTTCCCGGGAGACGAAGACGAGGAGGACCCAGAGGTGGAGTTTGAGAAGCTGAAGAGAAGCCTGGACATCCTCAACAACGGTTTACCCGACGAGCCGGCCGACGCGGATAGTAGGTCAAGCCTGGTGGAGGGGAAGAAGGAGCGGGAAGAGATGACGGTGAGCAACAAGCCTGTGTCTGAGGCGGGCAGCGACAAGACGGAAGACTACGTGGACGAGTTGGAGGAGATGGAGGGGAAGGGTTTGTCTGATCGGGACAGTTTGACAGGGGTCACTCCGCCAGTTGGGTGTCAGGACCGGCACAGAGGCGGGGAGGAAGAGGAGGAGGAGGAGGGAGAGGAGGACACCAAGGAGATGATCAACACAGTGCTGGAGAACCGGAAGAAGCCCCTCCCCCCGGCCGTACGACGCGGCACTGACCTGGCCTGGAAACTGCTCCACGACCCCGT